TTATTTATCTCATTCCCTGTAATACCAAGTAAAAACGCTTCTGGTTTCTTGACAAATGTATATTTAAACATTTTCTTCAATTCATTATATATCATTTCCCAAAAGCTTCCAACTTTCTTACACTCCCACCACATATGATAAAATGTACCTTCTTTTTCTTTACATTTCCAACATTTATTACATCCCTTGTACATCCTTGCTAACTTCACTGGTGTTACATACCATCGATACATCATTTTCATCACATTTTCTTTAATTGTTATACATGCAGTGAATCTTAAACCTTCTTTCCATAATTTCTCCTAATCCTCCATCTGTATATTATATCCAAAATCTTTGGCCCAGACTTAAAGTTAATTCTAGACAAGAGTATTGGAAATATCAATTGCTGCCACATGGCTAACATGGAATCCATGGTGCAAGAGTAATTTAATTTAATTAAGGTATGTATGGTATCCAAACTCATAAAAATTGTATGTTTACAGATGGGAGGCAGAAACAAGAACAACTTGAAACCTTTCAGTTGCCCTCAACTAATTACATAAAGAGCGCCCGTGCACACACACACACATATATATAACAATTTAACGCTTTCTCATTGTTGAAATAACATAATAGTAGTACATAAAATTACTTAGGATAAGTTGGATTGTAAATATGGGGAAAGTTGTGCATGCTTTGTTTTGCATTTACATACATATATAGAGAGTACACTGAAAAAATGAGGTTTGATTCCAAAGTATAGGATCATCTCACCCTAATTCACAGTGATTTCTGAAGGGGGCAAAGACACACAGTAAAGTGATATACTGAGCTGGTTTTGAGACAGTCTTTACCATCCTGTTTGTTATTATTATTCTTTTATTTATCATTTATGAAATTTGTATATGACCCTTCATCCCAGGATCACAGGGTGGTTCACAACATAAAAATACAAAATGAGAACACAAAAATACCATCTTTGCCAGCATTTTGAGTTGCTATGCTTTAGCAAATGTCCAACCCATAATTGCAACTGCTTTGACTGATTGAAATCAATGAGCTCAGGTAAGGGATGGAGGAGCAATTCAATTCAGTACACATTTAAAGCCAGCTCTATCCAATTTGAAATTTCTAAAATAGTATATGAACCAAAATGCAGTTATCTTTCAAATTCTCACTTATCCAAATTTTACAATACAGAACTCCCAACTAAACAATGTTTATAAAATGCATATGTTAAAGGGAAATGTGGATAAAAATGAATATATTAGTGAAAATAATGTACAAAATGCATTATATTAGTTGAAAATGCTTGCAAAAATGTGTGCATTGGTCAAAAAAGTCAGGTTTTCTTGAGCTGTGACTCCTGCATTGCAAGATATTAAATTAGATGACCCTTGGTGTATCTTCCAACTCTACAATTCTATGATTTTATTATATTCACAGTAAAATGCTGGTGAATTTTTATTTAGAAAATTCACAAACTGCTGCAAAATTCCTAGCTCAGATGCACTCAACACTACGTTGGCCTCACACTTCAGAGGATAATGTCTTCTTATCCATCTTGAGTCAATGGCCTTGCTCACATAGCACAGATCACAATAAGCCAGAGCATTAATAATAGTATTGATTAATTTTATTTCCTGCCTTTCATCCCAAAGGAGCCCATGGCACCCAACATCAAAATAGTAAAACAATGATTTAAGAGAAAATAAAAACATATTATAATTTTAAAAGAAAATTTTAAAACCATCTAAACCATTTAAAATCTTTTAGAACATCTAAATATATATATATAAGTAGAGCTTACCATGACCTGCTTTGCTTATCCAAATGTGCTGGTTCCTGCTTTGCTCATCCCTGAGCTTTTTAGGCCAGCACCGGATGGCAGCAAAGCAAAGGGTTGGTTTAGCTGTTCAACTGAACCTGGGGGCATGGTCAAGGTCTTTCCTCCTTAACCTATAACCCTAGGACCGGAATCATAATTTGGACAACTTGCCAAGTCAGACCTCAGCACAGCTGCCACACCACACCGACCCAAAAAGCCCAGGTAGGCACGATGTCACAAGGCTTAATGTGATGTGCAGATTCAGCCACAGTAATTTCCTTATCGGAAGGTGTGAAGGAGTATTCCAATGGGATTGTGCCTCTCTGTATATAAGCAACTGCAGAAAATGTGACCTAACAAAAGATGAAATAAATAAAATAAATACAGTGGTACCTCAGGTTAAGTACTTAATTCGTTCCAGAGGTCCATACTTAACATGAAACTGTTCTTAACCTGAAGCACCACTTTAGCTAATGGGGCTTCCTCATGCTGCCACCGCGCCACCGGAGCACAATTTCTGTTCTCATCCTGAAGCAAAGTTCTTAACCTGAAGCACTGTTTCTGGGTTAGCGGAGTCTGTTAACCTGAAGCGTATATAACCTGAAGTGTATGTAACCTGAGGTACCACTGTAAATAAATTGTCCAGTAGCACCTTAGAGACCAACGAAGTCTCTAAGGTGCTACTGGACAATTTTTTTATTTATTTCGACTGCATCAGACCAACCCGGCTACCTACCTGAATGTAACAAAGGATGCCTCTGATGCTGAGTAGGGGCCTTCCAGCCCTGAGTATAGAAAGCATTGTCCCGTCCCACCCCCAAAAAATGATGCAGCCACCGTTAAAAAAATAAAATTCAAAATGGTGTATAATAACAAAAAAAATAAATCTGTATTTTCTAAATTTCTACTCCATTGTTGCAGTATTACCATGGTTCCGCCAGGACCCCCTGGGCATGTGGGAGCTGATTACAGTGGCACCTAGCGGTGGCGGTTCCATCAGCTGAAGGCTTGCTGCAGCTTGGCCGAGCTGCTAACTTTCATTGTTCCAGAAGGCATGCTGCAGTTTGTCTCCTCTCATTATGCAGCCCGCAAGGAGGCTTGTAAGATTACTCTCTGAAGATGCAAGAATTGGTTAATTTTGCACCGTTTCTCCCTGTCATTATAATCTTTGCCACAAGAATAGCTCCATTCTGTGAAATGTTCTGTTCTCAGCACAGCCATTGTCATGTGAATGAGCTATCATTGAAGCCTAATGCCCGAGATGCTTTCTTCTCACATTCATGACATTTGTATTTCAGTGACAAAGATTACAGGGTGGGGTGGGGGAGAGAAGGAAGGAGGATCGGAGTGAAAGAAATTTAATCCGAGCTCTTGATCATTTTTAAATTCTAATTTTATGGTCTATTCTTCCTCTTGATGCAGAAGCACTTTCCTTCATTTACTTAAGAAAAAAATAAAAAAGAGAAGAATTGAACACATGAAACTAAGCCTTGGGATGTTTGCGTTCTAATGGTCTCTGCATTACAGTTGCCATATCAGTGTAAATTGCTAGTGGGGAGAGACTAAAAGCCATGACATTCTAATTTTCACATATATGACATGTGCTTTATTGGCGCTCTGATAGGAGCAGAGCAGGATGGATTGTGTATTGTATTATGATCGTGTGTGTGTTTGTGTGTGTGTGTGTTTTCTGATGGATGCATCAGAATTCCATGTGCACCAGAGATTCAAGGATCAATTATATAGGAAAATATTTTGATGTATTTTTTTTCCCCTGAAGTGGGACAAAACAGCAGCACTAGAACACCTGCTTTTCATGGAAAAGGTCCCAGATTCAGTCCCTAGTATCTTCAATTAGGGCTGGGAAAGAGTCCTGTCTGAAATCCTGGAGAACCCCTGCCAATGAGTGTAGATACTCTGGCTCTTGGACAACATTATTTCTCACAACCAGAGAAAAGGCTAAGGTAGGCAAGCCTTCTTATGTTACCTGGAATCCCACATGGTGTGGTTACCAAGCAAGAAACCCAGGTCCTTATTCAGGGGCACCAGCTCCTGAGAGCTGAGCCCTTTTGGCCATCAAACCCTCCCCCATATTTTTTTTTGAGGGGGCAGCCTCTCCCCATGTCAAAAAAGCGTGGAGGCAAGGCATGGAGCTGAGTGTGGCACAGCTGCAGTGGCTGGCTCCTTCTTCTCTTCCTCCTGATGTGGAGCGGAAGGAGGGTCAAAGCAGCCTCCCACTGGAGGTGGCGCAAGGTGGAGGAGGAGTCACCAGCCATTGAAGCCTCATGGCTGCAGCGTTCGGCTCTGCCCCAGCTCCTCCTAACATTGTGACATCACGCACAACATCGGGTCTCCCCAATCACCCTCGCAAGCTGGTGCCTCTGTTTTATTGACCCCTCCCAGTTTAGAGAAAAAGTAGACAACATTGGTTTAGTGGGTGAGTGTGAGGTTTTGTGTTCCCTCTGTTCTTAACTAAGACTGGAAAAATAACATACGTGGACAGGAAACAAAGGTACAGGGCTGGAGGCAGCAAGAAAGAGAGAACCCAGAGGCGTAGGGTGGGGGGCGCGGGCCACCCCGGGTGTCATGACTGAGGGGGGTGACAAAGTGGCAGGCGAGTGGACCCGGCGGCAGCAGCTCTTCTGACCCAGTGGCAGAGAGCAGCCCTCCTCAGCCATGGTGACGCTCACTCAACCGCAGCAGCTCCGCGTCCAGGTCATGTCTGACCTGGCTGCAGAGAGCAGGAGGAGAGTGACCAGCAGCTTCCCCGCCCCTCTCCTACCGTGAGGGTACCATCTGCGCTCCGCGCCCCTCGAGAATGCACCCGCCCTGGGCAGTGCAGGCATATGCTCCACTGCTGAAAGAACCAGCTAGAGTTTTCACATTCCTGGTGGTCAGAAGACCCCTGAAGGTGGACAAGGACTGAACAAGTGGTCACTGTATTCCTTTCATATGCAATTATTATTATTACTATTTATTATGTTAATTAAATTTGCATATCATCCTTTATTCGAAGATTGCAGAGTGGTTGACAACATAAAAAGACAAAACGAGAACACAAAATATATAAAAACAAAAACAAAGAAATCCCCCCCACACACACACACAAACACATTTACAAGGACATAGAATAGTTCCAGGTAGGTAGCCGTGTTGGTCTGCCGTAGTCGAAACAAAATAAAAAAAATTCCTTCCAGTAGCACCTTAGAGACCATGCACACGAAAGCTCATACCAGTAACAAACTTAGTTGGTCTCTAAGGTGCTACTGGAAGGAATTTTTTTATTTTGTAAGGACATAGAACATTCATCAGTCCAAGGCCTGGTTAAAGAGTAATATTTTTGCCTGGCGCCTGAAGATATGTAGTGAAGGTGTCAGGTGAGCCTCCCTGAAGAGAGCATTCCACAAACAGTGAGCCTCCATAGAAAATACCCATTCTCGCATTGCCACCCTCTGGACCTCTCATGGAGGAGGCATATGAAGAAGCGTCCCAGGTGGTTGTCACAGCATCTGGGTTGGTTTGTATGGGGAGAGGCGGTTCTTGACTAAACGTGTGCTTCCTTGGCTGGGCCTTTGAGAAAGGTTGAGGTTGTGAAGATTGTACAGCTGGAAGGTACCATAGGCTGCTTTCAGAAATTGTTTTGATCTTCCTTGTGAAAGTTTCAGAGTGTATGCTTTTTATATTTGATGTTATACTGTTTTGCCTATGCACCTTACCCTAGGACTATTTGCAAAGGACATATGTTATAAATACTGCAAGTAAGTATTTTTTTAAAAATGCACAACTACTTGGACACAAGTGGTTCATTGTTAGGCTACAGTCCTATACACAATTACCTGGGAGTAAGTCCCATTGAACTCAGTGGGCATAGGCTTCAACTGTTAGGAGGCAACATGTACTAAACTGAAATTATTGGCAAATAGATAGTTTTGTGGTAGTAATCAATGGCATGGCACTACAGCCTTTTAAATGTGTGTGTAGGAAGGAGTGTTATTGCTTCGCTGTTTTGTTTTACTTATTTACTTGTTTTTATCCTGTATTTTATTCTGTGAACCGCCCTGAGTTCTTTTGATAAATCTAATAAATAAAATAAATAAAGACCTCTCCAAACCAGATTGCACCACTTTTAAAGTGGCTTCTATGCAGCACATCACACTTCTGACAGTCCACCTACATTTCATTTCTCCCTCAGCCTCCCCATCTCAAATACAGCTTAAGCTTACCTTGCTATTCTATGAGCCCTGGAGTTCCTTCTATTTTAGCAGGTAATTTCATGGGGAGGGGGTGTTTCAAGATGCACATCAAGGGGTAAATTATTACGGCATGGCAAGCAAAACATTCCTATCTGAGACATTTTATTTGCAGTGATTTTTTGTTCCTGACCAAGGATTCAAAATAATTGTTTTTTTGATGATCTTTCATGCAGTGTGACTGTAAAGAGAAATCTGAACTGTCAGAATGATATCTGGATAGCTGACAGGGATCCACTATGCAGTCACATTCAGAGATTTTAATTGCATTCAAACAGCATACTATATGTCAAAAAGGCCACCCCCTCCAATCCCAATTCATTGTGTAAAGAAACTTTTAAAAATATTTTTTCCTACAAGCTAGATAATACTGAACATTGTAATCCAAATGAACGTCACATATTATCAGTCTCGTTCGCTCTCTTTAAATAAATGTTTGCAGATTCCACTTTTGATACCCTGAATAGCAAGTCCTCATTATTTTCTACGGGTTAGAGAGTTCTAATGTCAAAATGTAATCTTTGAGATAGTTTCATTTGCCTAGCCTAACCTCTTTGATCAAATGAGCACCGTTTCTACTTTTCAAAATACTACACTCAGGATCCGTGCATTCTCTTAATCATTGCTCAATTTCTTTTATCTGCGCTCCTTCCCCCCCCCCCCTGCACTCATAACAAGACCTGCAAGATCTGAACTCTAGTCCATATTTTTAATGTTACAGTTCTATAGATAATGTATTTTTTTGATTTAGTTCACAGGTAACCTACTTAAAGATATCTAGATATGTATCTCAGAATTCTTAGATAAAATGTTCAAGTAGTTGATTCCCACTTTTGACAACAAAGACTTTTTCCCCTAAAAAAAAGAAGGGGGGGGAGAAATCCATAGGGACCTACCTAATAAGTACATGGCTTTACTTTTTCTCCCTATATCACATGATTTCCTTTCAGGGTCCCCTTATTTTTCTACACTTGCTTTGGTTTCCTTTTTGCTGTTTGCTTTTAGAGTGCTACAGAAAAATAAAACCCTCTAATAACTAGATAGTAGCTGTAAGATGGGCTTTCTTTGAAACCGGGGTAGATGTTCACAAGATGCAATAATTGAGGTGAAATGCAGCAACACATAAAGCTGCCTTATACCACGTCAGGCTATTGGTCCACCTACAGCATTGCACACTGACTGGAGTCACTCTCCAGGGTTTCAAACGGAGGACATTTCAAGCCCTGCATGGAGATGCCTATATCTTCTGCATGCACAGCAAACACAGTGTCACTGAGCTACAGCCCATTCAGATGGCCCCATTTCTCGCTGGTGCTGCTATAGTCATTGCTAAACCAGGAGCCTCCTGGAAGACTCATCTGTGGTATTTCGGTTCACTGCCCAAAATATGCCAAAAGGACAGGTGCCTTTATTTAGAACAAGAAATACCCACTTCTCCCACTGGAAGGGTTACCAGCTACAATGAGGACAAAGATCCTGTATTTTTTCATTCATAGTCATGCAGAAGAGGAATGTCTGCAGGCCCGTCTTTGCTCACACTGACAGGGCTATGGCATGCCAAGCCGCACCTGCTGAAATCCTTCTTCTATATAGCAATTCATAGCACCTGGTCAGACTGACCCAGGACCAGCATCAGTGCTTACCATGGTTGAGCACCTTGTAAGTACCTCTTCAGCCTTTTAAAAATCAGCACCTTCCCAACTTTTGAGACTCCAAGTAATCAGAGAGAGGGGGGGAGGGAGAGAAAGAGTTTGTTGTCATCTGTCCATCTTGAGAGGCAATGAAGTGCACCTCCAGGGGTGAAGTCAAACCGCTGGGGAACCACAGCGCCTGCTGTGGCTGCACAGACCAGTAACTCACGACTGCTGCTCCCCATGTTGTTTTTGCTGTGTTAGCAGCACTGAAGTGACCTCTCCGGGATGCAAGCCTGGGCAATATGTCGAGAGGTCCTGCCCAGATGACAAGACATCCCTCTCGGCCCCGTTGATATGGTCCAAAGCAAAGCAGAGCAATACATTTGGCACCAGCTTGGCTGCAGGAATTGCTGGAAGGAGGCATACGAGGGACTCCACTCCACATCTGAGTAGAGCAGTGTTTCCCAACCTTGGGTCTGCAGCTGTTTTCGGACTACAATACCTATCATCCCTGACCACTGGTCTTGCTAGCTAGGGATGATGGGAGTGGTAGTCCAAAAAGAGCTGGAGACCCAAAGTTAGGAAACACTGGTGTAAGGTTTCATCTTTAGCCTTTTCTTTTCTTCTCCACCCCATCATGTGAGCCACTTCCTAGATGTGAAATGCCTATTAAAACCTTAGGTGTATGTGCTAGTCTAGGGTTTGTATCAATACCTCTGCTTGATAAGATAATACAGGTCTGGGTAGGGTGATCCTGTGTTCTACTTTACAGAGAACAGTCCTCTTTCGAATGGCTGTCAGGGGGCGATCCTCTCTCTTTGCGAAAATCCTATGTTTGAAGGACTGTCCAGTCCAAATCTGAGTTTAAGATAACATTCCAGATCACCTTGAAGTCACCCATCAACAGTTAGCAAACTGAACAGGAATGTGTCACCTGTCACAATTAGGCATGGGGCAAACCAACTTTATTTGTGCTTCTTGAGCCAACATGTGAAGCAAAATGAAGTTATCCTTCAAAAATCACAGGGTTTCAGACAGGGGTCTTTTCCAACCCTATCTGGAGCTGTTGGGGGATGGCATCTGAGATCTTCTGTATGCAGAACACATGTTCTACCACTAAACATCTTCAAATGTAAAACATTCCTCTCATGCAGAAAACTAGTGTGCCAGGGAGAAGGGTTCTAGCCTAGTTTTCTCTTTGAGATACTTGCTTTCAGTGTGTGGATTCCCCTTCTTGTATGAAGGCATTCAATCCCATGTGTTTCTACTGGAATTTCGATCTGGTATACTCCAGGCACTGGTGAACTATCTCAACAGGAACTATACCTTTGGATAGTTTAATGTATGCTTTTGGTTTGTAATAATATGGCTCTCCATTTCAAGAACATGTTTAAATTGAAAAGCAGATTACAAATTCTCAAATGAGACATTAAAATAAAAACCCACACTGCCTTTTTAGGCCTGTGATACATAAGAGAGGTTTCTTCCACAAAAAACGGTAACCCTGATCACTAAGAACGGATTTATTTGCAGTATTTGGTGTGTACATTGAAAATAAAGCACATAAGGCAAGGGAATAAAACGACAAATCCCTCACAGTAGGTATCAGCTGTGTTCACAGGGCAGCTTTTACATATACATTTACAAATGCAACAGTCACTATTTTTGGCATTAGTTATATGTATGTTACTATGGCAACTTGCAGCATCGCATTTTGCACATGCCCCCTCTCTGTGTGGTAGGGAACACCATGAATGCCGAGAGAAAAATAGTAAGTAAACACCCATACAAAGGTGCTCTTAATGCAGCATTAAAATGCTCAGGAAGTACAGTATGAAGGTAAGGTTGGTAAGGTTGAAGTAGAAGGACATGGGAAATGATAGTAAACTGGTGAAATTATCATTAATAGTATCAATGAAAAATGTAGCTCTGGCCTGCTACTATATTAGCAGCTCCCTCCTTGTCTCCCAAGTAAGTACTTAGATACATATCATTTGATTGTATCCAGGTGTCTCAAACAAAGAGAATGTTTAATGCAAGGCATATGAATTCAGTGCAAATGAACGCAACCCCTCTATACAACCAGACCATCTTTAACCTCTCAGTCTTTGTCTTGAAAGGCAACATGTCCAAAACTTTCAGAAACTGTGCTTGGGAATCTTTAACTGTGTTGGGGTTTTTAAACAATGGGTTGAATAGAGTTCACTTGGGGAGTGACTCAAAACAATCTGTTCTGCTCTACTAGTTACGCTATTGATAACTGTTTGATGTGCTGAAAGCTTGTCAGGGGAAGCAGCTTTTGCCTGAAGTTACAAAGGTGTTTTGCATTTTTGTCTCACTAACCCAAGGTGATCCCGCTAAAGGTATGTTGTCCCTCAACTCTTCATTTCACCTTCTTCACAGATATCACAGTAGCAGCTGCATCCCTATGAAATATGGCAATGCTGCTTTCATATCATTGCCCCCTTCACCATTTCCATTCGTTTTTCTTTATTTACTTCTTCGTTGTTTCTTATTTGCCCCTCTTTGCTCCATTCTGCACACTTGTGGTCCACACAATCAGACTTCAGGAAGTTGGCTAGAGAATTTCTTCATGTGAGCATATGCTTGTGGGGAGGCATTTTGGTCTGCATCTTGATAAAAAGGGTGGGGGGGTTGGAGGGGGTGGTTCCTTCAGGACAAATCTACCTGTGAGTTAATGTACCAGCCTCCCATTTCAAGCAAAATCCACTTTGCAAGGAGCTGATCTTTAAAGTGGCTTCTAGGGGTAACCCCTTGTGTGGCCTGACTCAAATTATGCCCTGAACAAAACAAAAAAAATCCAGATTATTGCATGGACTCCAATATGAATTTAATGTGTTACCTATTCACACATTGCTTGTGACCTTTAGAGTGCCACGGGATTCCATGTGTAGCACAGTAACGAAGCTACGTTTTGTGTGTCTGTAAAAAAGCAATAGGCAAATCACCCTGGGTGACAGGAGAGCTGTGTCAAATTAAGCAAAACTGTTTTCAGCTCAGTTTAATTAAATCAATGCACCCCCACATATCAGCCTGCCATTTCCTTTTGGGTATCAAGCCTTGCTTGATGCAACTGCATTGAAATACAAAGGATCAAAGGTTTAATGTCTTAACAAAGAGTGCTCAGTGACCCTGTAGTGGTTAACTAGCTCCAGGGATGGTTGCAGCAGACTCTCTCCTGCAAATCTGTTTTTGCACGTGCTGAATCCCTTCCAAATCACGCAGGGTTCCTAATAATGTGGAATCCTATGCGTGTGCACCTCTGCACATCTAGGATCCCCCTTTACAGATATGTGCTCAATGTGTGAACAAGACATATAGGGTGAACCGGGAGATGCAGTCCTGTTACTGTTCCCCACATTGGCACTCCACATTGAAGACTAGTGGCTGAAAATCCCTAAGGAAAAGCAGAGGATTGGTGCATTGATTATTAAAAACAGCATGTGACAAAACTTACAGTGCCATCTTATGCATTGAGAAGCAGGTTCTATTGTGTTCAGTGAGGCTCGCTTTCTGCTGAGTGTGTTTTGGACTATTGGCTAAAGAGAGAAGCAATGATAGGCAACCCTGCGTACAAAAGAAGTGTCTGTGATCTTGTAAGTTTTAGAGCAGTTCCTACAAAGTGTCAAGATTGTTTCTTCCACTGACTTTCAACAGATGTTTAGCAGATTAATCCTTTTGTTTATCAGGAACAGAAGAAAATTGTGCATGGGGAGGACAAATGAGAAATTTAGGTGGAAATTGGGATGGGGAGGAAAGACCCAGATAAACTGGAAAGGTGAAGTACAGTAAAAGGAAATGAACAGGGAAATAAAGTCATCTGAGTGAACAGAGCTTCTTCAGAGGTTGGGGGGGGGATTGTCAGAAGCCTGGGGGTTGCCTGCAGAAAGAGTAATAAGAAAGTAAGTATACAAGAGAAAGAAACTGTGGAAGAGATCGATGGCAGCTGGGATAAATATATGAGCCAGAAACTTGTGCTAATAAATGATTGCATTCTATCCACTGACTTCCCCGTTATATTTTTGCACATGGTCTGCAGTGAATTATTTTGCATCTGAAGGCAGCCCTGTTCAGGGAAGCTTTTAATGTTTGATGTTGTATTGTATTTTGGTTTGTTGGAAGCCTCCAAGAGTGGCTGGGGGAACCTAGTCAGATAGACAGCATATAAGTAAATAAATAATAATAAATAATGAGAGTTCTAGACAATGGGGAAACTATTATGGAACTATGGGACTACATATAAGTCCAGCAAGTTGCGCTGGCTCTCAGTTTGTTCCCCAGGTACAATTTAAGTTGCCTGTCCAACATGCAGCCCTCAAGACCTTTTATGTTGGTCCTTGGCAAGTTTATGCTCCTCCCAAGCCCTTACACTGCCTTCCCAAACCTGAGTAAGCAAGGCATGAGAGCTCTGATAGGGTCCTAGATTCTTCCCATCTGCTTCCCAAAGCCTAGTTAGCACTTTCCCAGATTAGGAAAGTAGGTGGGAGGGCTCTAGGACCCTGCCACAGCCATGTGCCTCTTTCCCAAAGCCCAGTGCCTTGCTTAGCCAACTTTGGGAAGACAGCACAAGGGGGGTGTCAAATTGTGGCCTCGCTCCCTGCTCCTCTGCAACAAGGCAGCTTGTGGCCCATAGGTTCTGTGTCAAAGTACTCTTGCAACCCACTTTGTGTTAAAAGTTGGGCTGCCCTGCCCTAAATGGTCTGGGGCCATATTGTTTGAAAGTCTGTCTTCTCTCATTTAAGTCTTCTATCTTTTATTATCTCCAACAGAGGCTTTGCCGTTAGAGGCACAGTTATTTGAGATACGAGACAGGGCCATCACTAAGGTTGTGGAATGCCCTTCCTTGCAGAGCTTGGTTGGTTTGATTTATCCTTTCTGTGAACAGTCAAGACCTTATTTTGTCAGGGTTTCAGATAATTTTAACTTCGCACCCTGCTACAGTTTCATGTTGCTCTGCTTTTTAAGCTCTCCATTCCATTCCTGTATGTTTTAGTGTGGTATTATTGTAGAGTTGTTGTAGATGCTTTTGATCTATATTTTGAGCAACCTTGGAGGCTCTTGTAGCTGAAAGGTGGTAGAGAAATCCACTAATTATTGATTTTAAAGTGTGTTTTGCAAATCCATCCATCTTCCATGTAGACATGAGAAATAGGAAATAGGAAACACTTCTGACTTTGACTACTCCGCATACAGATTTTGGTACAAACTTGAGTATAAGATACAAGTTTCATTACTGGAGAGTTAAGGAAGGAGGCAGAGGCAAAAACAGTAGTAGAATGTGGACTGAAATAATCATGTGAAGCTTAGACTTCCATTGTCACTATGCAACAGAAGCTACTTCACACTATTCTTGGCTTCACCATTAATTGGACCATTGCCATTATGCCTTTTTGCTCAGGAATTCTCGATTTCTGACTGCAGCTGGCTTGCGCCCTCCCTCAGTTCATTCATGGGTAGCTTTGAAAGGTGGTCTGCTTTGACATGTACATCATTAGACAGGAGAAGGGAAGCAAGGTATCAATATCAGAAATGAGCAATAGCAGGAAGAGGCATGTGGCAGGAAAAGAAAACAATTAGAAACAGTTTAGTGTCCTGAAGAAAAATCGTCAGTGCCAAGTTGGGCTGACAGAATCCTCTCTGGGGGAAATGGGGAGGCAAATCGGAACACACTCACCACTTCCCACAATGCTTCATCAAAGACATAAAATGGATGTACTTTTTGTGCACAAAATATGGCAATGCTAGGCATGGTTGCTAATGACCTACTGGGATTTGAGGGGGCTACTTTAAATCAGTCAAGTGCTTGAGACTTTCATTTGCAAGACAAACTTATTTTTGTTGTATGGTTGTGTATGATTATGATGATGATGATGATGATGATGATTACTACACCACACCCATCTGACTGGATTGCTTTTGATTCTGTTTGTTTGTTTCAGCCAGATTTTTGTGCTGGCATGAATTTCCAAACCCACCATACCTTGAGAACATGAAAAAGAAAATAAAAAAATGCTGAAGCCCTATTGTAAAACAGCATCAAAAATTAGATTTGGCTTGACCTGAGCTACTTGTACCTTCTTTATTGATCAGAAGATGAAATATACTTTTTCCAAGTCCTAAATGCCAGATAAGTAAACACTAAGTGAATAGTATTTATTAGGTTACATTAAGGTTGCAGGAGTTTACTCTCCTTTAACACAGTTGGACTTACTTATGAGTAAACACACACAGGATTGCACAGTTAAGAATACATTTATTCAGGCTTTATTTCACTGCAGTCTACTCAGCCAATAAGTGAGGAAACCACTGTTCTTCCTTGACCTTTTCTCTCAAACTTAACATAATTGCAAGGCAGGGTGGTTGGAGAGCAATCTAAACAGGAGGTTTCTGGTTTCTGATTCACAAACCTATGAAACTTATAATGAAGATGATAAAAAAGAGCATGGCATGGTTCTCTTCAAGCTCTCAGTCTGTTGCATAGAATTTCTTAATGCATAAATGCTTAATTTTATAAACGTTACTTCATGGAGAAAGACTGTAGCTCAGTGGTAGAGCATATGCTTTGTATTCAGAAGGTCTCAAGTTCAATCCCTGGAATCTCTCCAATTAAACAATCTCAGGTAGCTGGCTTAGAAATGCTTGCCTAGACAGATCAATGGTTTGAGTCAACAAGGGGGGGGGGAATCAGATGATGCCCCTATATGTTCCAGGAGTGTAATCTGTACAGCCGAATCCACTGTCCCCACCACTATGCATGGCAGTCAAAAGTCCTTGTCATCCGCACATTTGGCTTATATGTGATGGAGCTCTGCCAATTGGGGATGAGGGAAATTTGATGTTGTATGCATTCGAACGAGAAACTACCTAATTTGCACTTCTCAAACCAATAAGCAAACTGAAACACAGTTATCCATCAAAATTTGCACACTTTGAATTTTGCAATGTAGTTCTCCAAGCAAATACAGTGGTACCTCGGGTTACATACACTTCAGGTTACATACGCTTCAGGTTACAGACTCCACTAACCCAGAAATAGTGCTTCAGGTTAAAAACTTAGCTTCAGGATGAGAGCAGAAATCGTCTTCCGGCGGCGCGGTGGCAGCAGGATGCCCCATTAACTAAAGTGGTCTTCAGGTTAAGAACAGTTTCAGGTTAAGAACGGACCTCCGGAACAAATTAAATACTTAACCCGAGGTACCACTGTAATGTGTACCGTACATGAACTCAGTGCAAGAGGAGTGTTTGCACGAATATCCCCTAATATAAGGCAGCTTTATATAGTTGGCTGAGTATTATTTTTACTGGCTCTCAGTGGCCTTATGAGGAGCGGTTGAGGGGGTTGGTTATGTTTAGCCTGCAAAAGAGGAGACTGAGAGGAGATTTGAAAGACATCATGACAAGGAAGGAAATTCCAACTAAACATCAAGAAGAACTTTCTGACAGTAAGAGCTGGTCGACAGTGAAACAGACTCCCTCATGAGGTAGTGGATTCTCCTTCTTTGGAGATTTCTAAGCAGAGGTTGGATGGCCTTGTATCATGTATGATCTAGTTAAGATTCCTGCATTGCAGGGGGTTGGCCTAGATAGCACTCAGGTCCCTTCCAAATCTACAATTCTATGATAGTTTTTATTTTTGGTTGCATTGTTGGCATTTATGTTTGTTTGCTAATGTTGCAAGCCACCTTGAAAGATGATTACCCAGAAAGGCAACTAGAAATATTTAAAAATAAATAAACAGATATCAGTTACATAATATATTCATTTAAGCATTCTATATTCATGTGGAGATTACAGTTTTGGCTGACCAAACTAATGAATTTTCAGCTACAGCAGTGCAAACAATATCTTTGACTGCAGACTTGGCAAAGTTATGTTCTGCTCCAGTGCTTTAATAAATAGTGTACTACTGTGGAATGTGGCTCAGAATCTCTACATTGTCATCACCTCTGATGCCTGTTGACAGCTCATAAGATTCTGCTTAAAAGGCCATCTTGTTGGCCATCCCCACCCCACCCACTTGCACCATACTGCTCTGCTATGCATTAAAACAGACGAACATCAATACCAGGGATGGATGCTGCACCCAGCATTTGAGCTGAGGTTTGGATCTTGACCCATAGGATCAGGGCCGGAACTATGCATTTCATTCTACCCTATCGCCACTCCTGGCACACGTACTATTTTAATGGAGGCCCACAGGAACTGGGTTGGTACATTTTGTACTTTTCTCCTTGTGTAAGAAATATATGGTGTTGGGAGTTACTCTGCGAAGTGAAAAATCCCTGGTGGATCTTGAATCTTTTTCAGGAAGGATAAGAAAAGAACAAATGGATTCATTTCAGAGAGAACCAGGAAGCTATGATGAAGATGGATGTGGCCAACTTCTGTGTTCTAGAAGGCCATTATGTCCTCCAGATTTTATGCACAGGCCACATGATGGTGCCAACAGCACCCTAGCAGTTCTTGACCTGTTTCTCAATTGGCCTCTAGCGGTGGTGACCTACAAATATTTTTGACTGCTACTCTCATCATCCTTGGCCAGCGGTCCTGGTGGCTGAGGCATGGTGAGAGCCATAGCTCAAAATACCTGGAGGGCACTAGATGGTGGGAGGCTCTTCTAGAAGTTTTTCTGGAGTCCAGAAGTATATCTTGCTGCAAAATCACCCCAAAACCTTTGCTGCCCTAGATCATATACACCTGGTCTGGCCATTTCGTACAAAATCCAGAGAAGAAATGTCAGATTGAATTGTGAAATTATTTTATTTTATTTTACAATGGGGGGGGGGGGATTCTGCCTGAGTGATACAGTAGTTGTTCTTTTAAAAAAATCACACTGTTGCTTTGTGGGTCATGTCTGTCTGTCTGTCTGTCTCTTTCAGAGCTGCCAACAACCACAGTACCACCTAGCTCTGTGGGTATGCAGCTATCCATCGCTGAAATCCTCTCACAACAGATTACACTCTTTAAGTGTACAGGACATATAAAGTGGATGCAATCCTGCTTGCACAAATCAATGAGAAAATTAACATTAGCTGCAGTCAGATCAAGTTCAGTAAAAGCAGATAAAGTGAATTAAAATATACAGGTTAATGAGTTGATTCTAAAATTAACTTGTGTGTCTCACTAAAGATGGAAATGTCAAGCTTAGAACTAAATAGAGGTCGGTGTTTAAAGACCACACTAATCACAGGAATTAGTGCATCCTGACATTGATTTATTTACAATGAATCTTTCTGGAATGAAGAAAAAGGCTGCCTCCACAGTATTAAACTCACAAAATCTCTAGAACAAGATAGTCAGCACAAGGTCCTCCAGGTTCATGTGCCCTTCGTACAAAATGCTGTGCCCACCAACTCATGTTCACACCAATTCACATGGGTGAAAATTTGCCTCCTATTGAGCACATGGTATATTTAAAGTGTCGTAGTCTGAGGATGTGGTACAGTCTGCCAGTGCAATGCAGCTTCCTCCACAAATGCTCACATATACAAATTGTGATTTTGTGTGTGTGTGTACAACAGTTTCTCTTAGTTGGGGGAGACCAGAGGTCCACCAATGCATTTGAGGGAGATCACAAGGCCATGCAAGTTAGCCCCACCCCTAGCTAGCAAAATGTGCAACAACACATCACTAGCATGTGCATTTTGCTGGCATGGGAATACACACTAGGCAAACATTGACATCATCATCAACAACATTATTTTATTTTCACCCCACCCATCTGGCTGGGTTGCCCCAGTCACTCTGGGTGGTTTCCAGCACATAGAAAAACAAAATAAAATATCAAACATTAAAAACTTCCAGAGAAGAATGGCAGATGAAGTTGATGGATTATGCTGAAATGGCTAAATTGACCGGAAGAATTAGAAATCAGGAAGACCAAAGTTTTAATAAGGATTAGAGAACATTTATAACTTATATTAAAGACCATTGTAAACAGTTAGTAGGATTGGAATATCACTTGTTAGTAGGATTGGAATATCACATGTAGTTTAAGGGTGAATTCTGGAAACAATGGAGATGTGAAAGACTTGGATCATCATAATAGATGCAGGAGGAAATGATTAATAATAGGACCCACAAAGGGAAGGATGGAAATCCAGGAGATTCCTTGGAATCTTGTTCTTTAATGTTTGATATAGCTGTAAAAATTTAATTTGAAAAACCAAATAAATAAATTTAAAACAAACAAACAAACATAAAAAAACTTCCCAATACATCCCTACAGATGTCTTCTAAAAGTTGTGTAGTTCTTTATCTCCTTGACATCTGATAGGAGGGCGTTGCACAGGGCAGATGCCACTGTCGAGAAGGCCCTCTTCCTGGTTCCCTGTAACTTCACTTCTCACAGTGAGAGAACTGCCAAAAAGCCCCCAGAACTGGATCTCAGTTATTCTGCTTAGATATGTACAGTGGTACCTCTGGTTATGAACTTAATTCGTTCCGGAGGTCCGTTCTTAACCTGAAACCGTTCTTAACCTGAGGTACCACTTTAGCTAATGGGGCCTCCTGCTGCTGCCGTGCCGCTGCCGCATGATTTCTGTTCTCATCCTGAAGCAAAGTTCTTAACCCGAGGTACTATTTCTGGGTTAGCGGAATCTGTGACCTGAAGTGTTTGTAACCCGAGGCACCACTGTATCTGCTTAGATTCAGTTGGAGGCCGTAATGCTTCTAAATATCAGTTGGTGGAAACCATAGGAGGGGACAGTGCTTTTGTACCCAGGTCCTGCTTGATCATTTCATACAGGTTTCTAGATCAGAGGCCAGCCTCTGGCACTTCATCTCATTTTAGAAATTAAGCACAGCCTGTACTTGTCCCCATAAGACTGACCTTAAAATTAATTAACATGGTCCCACAGGTGCCAGAATGCCGGCCAATACCTCCTGTGTCATCCTCAAAAGGTCTCCATACATGCATACTCAGAAATATACAATACATGAGAAATTGTTCTTCCTGTGCAATTACTGTTTGCACTGGTTCTAATTGAATACAACCCCTGAAACAAACAGACATTTTGTTGGATGCCAGGATTTGAGGCCCACTTTCCCATTTCTTCTGAACAGAGGAGAGGTGCAAAGATCTTCTCTGTGAGTGAGCATGGCGGTGGCTGATGTAGGTGTCTCCCCACCCCCCACTTTGATGAGGTGGCTGATGGAGCCCATGTCCACACCATTTTGTGCTCCTGTCTTTTTTCCTGTTCTTTTAGAAGTGGCAGCCATTATACGACACCCCATGGCAGCCATTTTGTAACTGATATCCACAGCACTTTCCTAAAATTCCAAATATGCCCACTGACCCTAAAAGGTTGGCGACCATAGCTAACTCTAAGTCACACAACCCTTTTGCTTTCTAGACTCATCACGTCAGCACCCAAATTGTCCTAAATCCCCAACAGTTGCATTTGTCGGCAGTGCAACCAACAGTTACACATTTAGAAACACATTTGCCCATAACCACAAACTGAGATATTGATTATCAGATAGCATTTGACATCATTTTGAGAGAAGCGTTTAGGCCAAAGTTGCTGGTTATCACATCTGTATCGCTATACACTGCTTCGTCGCTAACAGTTGCTTGGAGAAATAGGAGAAAGAAGGAACAAGA